CCTAGAAATCAAACAAACCCAAAATTATGAGAACAAAAAAAACAGAAAAAAATTTGCTAGGGAAAAATATGTTTAGATTCTAGGGTTCAAATCCCTGCACTGAAAATCCTCCTCATGAACCCCAACTCCAGCACTTCAAAGTCTAAATCTAGTATTTAGTTATGGGTTCCTACAGCACCAGACGAGCAACACGTGTTGGGTGGATGGAGGGGGGGTGGGGTTTTTGGCTGTAATTTTAACCAAGACGTCACTAATTTAAGAGAAATTAATTGCAGCTACTATGTTTCACCTATTCTTCAGTTTATGGTAGAACCTGATCAATCTTACCTGGCAGTACCGGAGCTTGGGAAGAAAGAGGAACGCGTTTCTTGCAGGATGTTCATGCCAAACATCTAAGATTCCGCGGGATCAAGGCTTCACCAGACCCGCGCCTTTGCCAAGACATTTACTTGGGCCCAAATCCTGTATTGTAGCCTAAGTCTAATCCAACTGTTCTCAGTCTTTACAGAACCAGAGCTTCCTTTATCTGTCAAAATTTACCAAAAAAAAAAAAAATGTTGACTTTTCAACATGATTATTTTTCCCCCTAGTTTTTATTTTTCATGTAGTTGGATACAGTCAAGCTTTTCAGCTTTGCCTTTTTCTTTCACCTTCTTTCTCCCCTCTTTTTTCACTCGTTCCTTTCTTACTGCCCTTTTCCATTTTGCTTCTGAAGAAAGATGATGGAGAGAAGGGGGAACTGAAAACCTACCCAAACGCTAAATTTCCTTGTACTGGCCTGAAGTTAAACACATACAATTTTTTTGTTCCCTTGCAAAACAGGACTAAAGCCCATTCATCCTTGCTGGGACCTGGGGGAACTCACCGTCTTGCAGGATGAGCTCAGTGCTTTGCAAAATTATCTAAACAGTGGGTACAATAAAAGGTGGGTCCCAGCCAGAGCTCCGGATATGAGCACTTTCCATCCCTGTAGGGGAGTTCGGATTTCGACATCGGGGCTTGTTCCTTGCTGTTAGAACTGGAAGCCGAGCACCCCTGAGCATCAGCGAGGTTCAACCCCAGAGGCACGCGTCTCCTATCAAGACTCCTCCGACAAGCGACAAGCGGTCCTGGGATGGGAGGCCTCGGTGCCTGGGGGACAGAATAATCTTAAAAAATAAAACTATCCTCAGGAGGACACTTGGAAAGCCCTTCGCTGTCACTCTACTGATAAAGACTAAGCCTTTTTGTGCTGAGCTCCTCAATACTGACTGCAGAGAGCAGTCCACGTTGGCTACGCTTGCAAGCAAGTGTTCCTGAAGGGAGACTTGTGATGTTATTTCTGGGTCTCGGGAGCACGAAGCAAACACAACGCACATCCACAAGTGGTGGCCACCGCTACAGAACACACCACGGCCCCCTTTAAAGGCTAAACTCGAATAGCCAGTCTTTCTCCACCCCAGCCTTGAAGCCCAGCTCAGCTCAGCCCAAAGCAAAGGGGGAGAGGGGCTCAACTCTTTGTGTTTCAGTCACAAGACCAAAAATAAGCCCAATGGAGGAAAACCTTCAGATAAAAAAGAGCACTTGCTTACCAACAGCAGCTGGGATCACTATGTTCAATTATACTGTAATTTGTAGATGTTTTTCTCCAGCTGCAGATGTAACACAGACCAGACAACAACTACAACAAGGTTTAGCCAAGAAATAATTCAATGGTTTTACCATTTCCCCCCTGCTGTCTTCTTTCCATCCAAACACGCACATTTGGAACATGCTTTCCACGAACGTTCAGAAGATTATCAGGAAAGGCAGCGACAGTAATTCAGCGCGAGCAAGTATCAGACAGCATTTCAAGAGCTAATTTTGCACTTAGATAATCACATTGAAAAAGAAGATGCTAAGATTGCTCCTCATCCAAAAGCGGAACAAAAACATCTTCAGTGTCTTACGGGCTCATTAAAAACTAGCCCAGGCAGCTAGAGTATTGCATTTTTACCCCGATTGACTCACAAGTGATTAGAATGGGATTAATAACAACAACAAAAAGTAAAAATCATCCTGGAGCTGTTCCCACTGTGAAGTGGGGCTGAGTCAGAAACGATTCTTTTCCTCTGGGAAGTGGGAAACATCGTTTTGTAAAACTGACTTCACTCTTTGCTGGAAAACGACCAACTTTGCTTTGCTTCTGATTTAGAAATGCATCTTCAAATTTTTTTTGAAATTCTGTATTTCCATATTTATCCATTTCATTGCATAGCGTAGAAACACCACACACCTCTTCCCATTTTGGGGCAAGACGGTAATTTTTCCCCCCCCACCCTGTTTCTACTTTTCTCACCTCATCCCTACGTAGCCAAATGCCATGTTTAAAATAGACCTCTGATTTTTTTATTTTTTTTTTTTAAAGTCACTAGAGATATTTCCACTTTGAACTCAGAGAAGTCAAAATATCTTTGATGCCTTCCCTGACTGTCAGCTTTTTCTGTTTCTGGAATGATCTGCACACAACATTTGATTTAGTGAACTATCCCGGCTTCCAAATAAATTAGTAGAGACTCTTGCAGACTTTTTTTGCAATCATAGAATCACAGAATCGTTTAGGTTGGAAAAGCCCTTTAAGACCACCAAGCCCAACTGTTCCCCTAACCCTGCCATCCCACCACTAAACCCTGGCCCTCAGCAATCTGATGGTGAAACTCATTAGACAACTTATTTCCAGTAAATTGCTCCCTTCACCGACTCCTTCCGCATTTAAGACTCGTGGAAACATTTTATTTCGAGATAACAGTGCTGATGCTACTGTCCAAGAACAATAGAGGATGACTATAGACTTCATAGACCATCTAATATAATTCCTGCATAAACAGGCCATGGGCCTTTTTAAAATTAAATGCCATTTCCAGTCCAAGAGATACGGTTGAACTGAAGCACAGTTATGGAAAGAAGAAGAGGAAAAAAAAGGACATCCACAGATAAATAATGTACAACAACATACCGTACCGTAACTCCAGACAAGCACCACAATCCTGCCCTGCCACCCTCGCCTCTCTGCTTGTCACGAGTATGTCAGGGCTCTGTGGAAAGTGCAATGGTTCCAAGACAAATTTTGACACATTTTAATGGCAGAGGAAAGACTTTGTAGCTCACAGCCTGCATTTTCAATGCAACAGGCAAAAGGGAAATCTTTTCTCTCATTTCCATCTCTCTGTGCCAATAAAAAAAAAAAAAAGCTTAATGGCATCAAATGCCTGAGATTTTCCAAGTTTCTTGCAAACGAGCATTGCCCAACTTTGGTGAATGTATTTTTTTTTTTTTAGGTCTAGGTGCAAACCTGCAGATGCCTTTTCAAAGCTGACTGCCACATATTAAATACTCAGCAATACAGAGAGAGTGGAGCAATGTCCCTCCCTGGCTTTGCTGAAGTCAGCAGGAGTTTCACCACGTCAATGTTGCCTGATGCAGACGCATGTGCCATTGTGGACCTAATGTGGAGGTGGAATTAAAGTCTTCCAAACACCATTGAGCAAGAAACTGGGGAAAAAGAAATCTTGTCTCCCTGCTCAACACTCCTTGGATAAGTCATTTGAGATCTGTCTGTGTGAATCATTACCACCACCCCCAAAAAAGGGGTATTAAGAAACTATCTTCACAGGGTCCCAAAGAGCCATTTATTGGATGTCCAGACACAACTGCAGGAGGGGAGGTGACAGAAAACAGCCAGAACACCAGTGTTTTCATTCCAACACGTTCATCTGCACCCAGTGACAAGGTGGCACTGAACACCCCCCCCACCTACCTTAGCAAGGCGCTACAGGGAAGTTTGCACAGCATTTGCTGCATGGTAGTGTTACGGAAAGTCTGATGACTCCCATTTTCTCCAGGGTTTGTTAGGATAGAAAAAACCTAGACCAGAAATGTCTTTGTCTAGCGTTCTGAAAGAGAAACAACAACAACTGGTTTATTTATATATTTAATTTTTAATTAAAAAATAAAGGTTATCTTAATACATCTCTTGCAGCCTTTGGGCAAAATGCACCCTTAACAAGACTTTATGAAACATGATGCACATCTATTCTTGGCACACATCTTAAACAACCGGGAACTTTCTGCAGCAACTTCTTAAATCCATCATTCTCCCAAAACCCTGAAAACATTTAAACGTTCTTTAAAAAAAAAACCCTACAAAAATTACAAGATGGCCCAAAGCAAAAATCCCAGATCCAAGCATCCCAAAGCTTTTGGAGCAGACTTAAATCCAAACCCTCATCTCATTCGAAGTTTTATCCTGGATCACTGCAAATTCACAGACACGGCACCCAAACAACCAAGAGAGATGAATTCTGGATGCTGACCCGGGTATCAATCTCGCTTCAGCAGCTTTGATCTTTACACTGGGCCAGAGCAAACCCATGGGTCTGAACTCCTTCCTAAAACTGTTTAAGTTGGGCCCATCCCTAACAGAAATAAGTGCTGGTTATACAATGAAATGGTGCTATCAGAGCTCCCCATTTCTTAGCTGTCCCTGATCTGAGAGCAGACCAAGTACTCCGTCCATTTGCACTACTTTAAAAGGCAAGGATAAAGTCGAGAGAACACACTGAACCGTCCAACGCAGTCGTATCACTACACATTTGCCTCCCGCAGGGTGAAAGGAGACCTGGACGTCTCCTTTATTTGCCAGGAGCTGTGATGTGGTTTTCTCTGGAAACACCTTCAGGCCTCCGTCATTATCTGTGGGAAGGCTTACGCACACCGCCGGAGGGACAGGTTGTCACCACTCACGTGGGATGTCTGTGTTCCACCGTGGCCCATGATGGCTGATTCCCAAAGGCACAACGTGACCAATCTTTAGACTTGTACACAAGGTCTACATATATATGTATATTTATATATATATGTACACACGCACAATTACATACATATTTAAATATATATATACACATATATATATTTGGTTTTGGTTTTTCTCTTTTATCTTTTTTTGCTTTTCTTTTTTCCCCTTTCCTTCCTTGCTTTCCCTTTTAACTTAGTGGTGTAGTCTCCTCTGAGGAGGGCTCTGGTATATGTTCTGGAGACTTCTCGGTCTCCAAAGAGACTTCTGGCTTCTCCTCTGTCAGTTTAGGCTCCTCAGGGGCTTGAGATCCCTCCAGCTCCTGACTCTGAGCCTGGCTGTTCATTTTCTCTTCTGCTTCGATTTCCTCCGAGGTGGGAATGGAGTTTTTCTTTGGACGGCCTTTGGGTTTTGTTGGAGCCTCCTGTCCACCCTTCAGCACCTGGAGCAAAGAGATGAACGGTCAGGATCAATCTGAACTCTGCTGCTGTGGGACATCCTTTACAGAAGGCTGAAACTCGGCTTCCACCTCAAAGTTAATGACTTGGTCACCATTTCAGCCTCATAGAAATGCCCTGCATTCATGGAGTGAGCTCACCCATACTCTCATACAAATAAAATGAATTGCAAACACTACCAGCAAGAACACCCAAACCTCTGCAGGTGTCCAAGTCAGTTCCTATGGGAGGACCAAAAGCAGCCTATGCACAGACCTCAACACTACAGACAGAGAATATTTTATGCAGAATTCAGGTCCTTTCCCGAGTGTTTGCTTTATTCAAAGCCCAGATTAGAACAGTCATAAACCTTAGCCAGGATTTCCTCTGACTGCCTTTTCTCCAGCCTCTCTGGCTTCTGAAATAGTCTTTATTATGTTGTTTGTTTTGTTTGTTTTTTAACACTTGCATTAAAATACACAAGACCCCTCTCATCTCTACAGAAGGCGGGGTCCAGCACAACAGGTCTGTTCCTACGTTTAATTCCCTCTCCCTTCACGACCACTGCAGCAACAAGACGCTTCCAAACAAAGATCTGTATCCAAGCTAATCCCAAATTTGTTTTAAGTGGCAGTAACTTCTGCAGCTGTCTCATACATTACAAATACAGTCTAGAACTGCATCTCCTCTCCCAGATCAGAATACATAAACATCTCCACTGGAGAATGTGACAGCATCATGGTTCCCACCAGGATTTATCGGACAGTTGTCCTTTCTAAAAGCATTTTCACTGGAAAAGGGCCATGAAGCTGAGAGTAAGTGGAATTGGTAAAAGAAAGATCTGAAAAGCAAGAATTAATGATATTAGCTCTCAAAACTGCACTGGTTTCCATGGAGCGATGCAATCTTTTTTGTCTATGCACATAACCAATCCAAAAAAAAACTGTTCTGTTCTAATTTCTTTCATCCCTTTGCCTTGTATGCGTCCTACTGCCCATGGTCCCTCTAGCCTACCACATATGTTGCAGTATGAACTTTTTATAACAGAGTAAGTCTCTAAGAAAAGTGATCGAGAATAAAACAAAATTTGGTATAAACAGACACAGGTCACTGACATTATGCTCAGCTTCCAAATCTGTTCTTTTGAAATCGGTTTTTAATGATGGCAATGAACCACTTACCATTTTCTTCCACTTCATCCTACGGTTCTGGTACCACGTCTTCACCTGGAGCTGAGTCAGCCCCAACGACTGGGCTAAGTCAAGCCTGGGAGACAAGACAGACATTGAAATGAGTTCATGGAGGAGAAGAGCTCAGATGCCAGGTGCAGCCAACCCAACACTGTAAGAGCCTACAACAGTGGGACTGCCAGAAGAGACAGCTATTTGTCACTCCAATCTGTCGTTTTGAGAAAAGGTCAGACAAAAGTGGTAAACCACTGTGAATTTAGGATGTACAGATAGATGCTCTTACGGAAGAAGCAAGAATATTTAGGTGCTTGCAGGCTATCTGTTCTCTTTTCTCCTCTGTGATGGATGGACAAACGAGAAAGTCTAGAAGTTGTACGAGTTTGCCTGCCCTATTTGAAACGCAAGCCTTCAACTGCTGACGCTCCATGTTGGTATACAAAGCAGGGAGCCAGTGGTACACCGCGTCCCTGAAGAATAGGTCTATGGTATCTGAAGCAAGCACGTAAGAACCAAGACACCCAGCATCAGTCTGCCTTCAAAAGTGCTGCTCTTTGTATTGTCTATCTTCTTCTTCACTACCTACATAATGGGGATGATAATACTTTCTCATTTCTCACAGAGTAGTAGTACTTCTAAATCTATTCATTTCTTATGCATTCTCCTATTATAGGCAATTTAGGCTTATAAATGAATGTATTATTTGCGTGTTTAGCTTAAGGGTATATGTGGCAGACAGCCCATAATCCTGATTCATCCTCCACAAATCTCCAACCTGTGCAAGTTCATCCGAAACCATTCATTATTTCTCTATTAAAACCCAGGATATGAAGCAAATGCAGCTCAGAGTAACTCTTTATCCTTCCCCACAGGTGACAGCACCATTCATCTGGCAGCGTTGTAATGGAGTTGCACAACGGAGGGAGTTGGAAATCTTCAACGACGCTGGGCAAGTGCCCCCCAGAGTCACGCGAGTCCTGCAGGTGGGACAGCTCAAACTCAGAGTCACATTCCAAGGTGTTCTGGATTGCGTGAACTTTTTGGAAAATACTTCCCCGCCTTTGGATGGGGAAACACATTTGTCAAGGCCAAGTTTTTCATAATGAAACTTTTGTTTCGGCTGGGCTCCTAGGGCAGTCAGGCTCACTCTCACATGTACAAACACCTACGTACCCCACACCAGCTCTCTGTGCTCAAACGCACACTCATGGATTCATGCTTTTCCCCCACTTTGATTCAGGCTAGACCTACAGGCTTGGTGTGCCTGCTGCCTACGCCACTATATAATATCCCATTGACTTCAAGATACCATCACTGTTACTTGAGAAGCAGAATCTAGCAGAGGCACTATCCTGTTGTACCACGCTCCCTTACTACTCATAAACCAGGCGCTTCAGTTGCCCTCCAAGCGGCACAATTCACCATCATGTTTCCAGCAGTGAGCTGACAGAGAGAAACACTGCTGGACTAACTCCTGCCTTAGTGCACATGTCTTATCACACTTTCATTACCTGCAACCAGTTACCACCTCCTGCCACACGCATTAGCGTAACCAGCATTGCCTAGAAACCTGAGGAAACAAACAGAGGGGAAGTGGTACGTGGACAGGAATGGCTCAGCAGCCTCAAACATGTACAAAGCCAAGGAACAGTCACAACACAAAATTAACAGCCCCAAGTGCTTCATCAACAGCGTCAACCATCTGGTTTTGTGAAGCTGTGAGGAGTCAGTTCGGGAGCATTAGGAACTCTGAAACTGGCTGTGCCCATGGAATTTGGTCTAGCTGCAATCCTTGGCTTTGGTGACGGGCAGCATGAGCGGAGAATGCCAATCTTCAAAACCAATTGAAATACTAGGACACTGCCATCTGTGGTGTTCAAGGTCTGGTATACCTTTCAAACCATCTCTAGGTCTACAGACTTAACAGGAATTGGACAGGCCTTTTTCCTGTAATTTAAATTTGTGGAGTAGGATTCAAAGTCTTTTTTAAAGAAGACGAAGCCTCTCCTTAGTTTAGCTTGTCCACTTGGTACCAAGTAGTCCCTAAGGCCTTGCCTTTTCCCTCACAAAGACAGGGTACCTGCTTGTGCCTTGACAGGGGAAAGTAGCCTTCAACCCTATGCAGCCCTCTGTTTTCGAGCTGATGGACAGGCCACCACCTGCACATTGAGTTGCTACCCAAGTTTGCCAGATAAAAGCTAGTTCAGCAGCCAGCTGAAGCTACAGCCAATCCTCTCAGCTGCCACGGAGACACAGCCATCCACCACCAGATCCAAGGAGGGGACAGGATCTAAGTTAGCCTTGAAGTGGAATCTGGTCATCTGCCCAAGTCCTTGGCCATGGCAGAGGCATCTCCATGGAGCCAGAAGGCAGCACACTGAAGCCAGGGAGTGTTTGGTGTATGAACAGCCAAGCAGGGCTAGAGCAGCCCTTTTGCTCATTACTTTTCCTACTCTAAGAGACCGACCCACCTGTCAGGGGTAGACAGATACTTCTGCTTCTGGAATTTCTTCTCCAAGCCCATCAGCTGGAGCTCTGTGAAGATGGTCCTGCTCCGGCGTGGCTTTTTTAACCGCGGCGTGGGCTGCTCTGCCTCCGACTCACTGCTGGCATGGGTCTCGCTGGCAGCTACCTCCGAGCTTGAAGTCCCCGAGGAGGGCTGGGCTGGCAGCACGCGGGAGCTGGTGGCAGCTGGGACAAGGTGAGGGACCACGGAGGGCTGCCTGGTGATGACGGAGATGAGAGGATATGCCCTCAGAGAAGGGGACCCTGGCAGGGAAGGAAGCAGAGGCAGATAAAGGCCAGTTCAGTGGCAATATGGTTAAGAGATGGGAGCACTGGCGAGAGTAAGGAGAGAAAAATATCTTCTCTGGCTCTGCCAGGCATTTGTTAAATGACCACAAGCAAGTCCATTCCCCTCTCTGGACCTGTTCCTTCTCCCCAGTTGCACATGTCTAGCTTTCCTTGGGCTGGGAGTCTTGGCACACGTTTCCCTAGCACAGGGAAAGGAGGGCCTGCGTTTCCATTTTTTTTATTTAAGGCGCTATTATAATACACACCATTGAAGTCATCTGCCTAATTACCACAAGAGATTAAACTCAGCAAACGATGAAACCCATCCCCATTCACCCAACTCTGCTTCTCTACAGACACCAGGACAGGGTTCACTGGAGACAGTTACTGAATCTCCCTTTGCAGGCAACAGACAATGGAGTTCAAGTCCCCATTCATCTCATCCTCTAGTAGGTAACTGAGAGTCAGATGAATCACACTTTCATCCTCCGCTGTCTGTACTGACCCTGTTGACTACACAGGCAGAAGAGGATGAATAGATTGGAAGCTGAGCTCTTCACTGACTCTTAACTCCACATCTTCTACCAACCAGTTGATACCAGCCCTAAAAAAAGCCGACAGTTCTGCTCCAATCCTTTCAGGTCAGGGCCAGTTTGGGATGACAAATCTAAACACTAAAGGAAGTTCTGATTCACATCAGACCATCTGAATTTACAGCTATAGACACATTTCTGCTCAGCCTTAGCCCCAGGAAATTGAATGTTCCCTTAAAATTCAGGCAGGGGAACAGGGCTGGGTATGGGAAATGTGCACTCGTTGCATGATAGCACTCTCTACAGCTTTGCAACCAACCTGCACAGTCTTGGGCAAGTCGCTTTCTTGCTCCGTACCTCAGTTTACCTCATTTGCAAAATGGAAACCATCTTCCTTACCTACTTCACTGGTGGTAAAACACGGATTAAAGTTTAACGTACATAAAGTATTCTGAGATCTTTAGATAAATGGTGCTGTGGAAAGGAACATATTACACCAGCAGGCCTGATTGTGAAACTTTTAATATGAATCACCACTAATGAAAATAACGATCTGTAGACCTCAATGAGTCTATTTGGGTGAGTAACTCATCACAGTGGAAGAACAGAGTTGTCAGCCTGGCCTGCTGATGACCTGCATTCCTTGCCCTCCTCCCCTGAGCGAAGGGTTGCTATCGCATACATCAGGTCCCAGGTAAGCTGCGGTGCACAGGGTACGTCAAAGAATCGTGCAGCTCATTGACCATCGCTTCTCTCCACAACCACTGCAAGCTGTACAAAATGCAGGCATTTACAAAGCAAGCTTGGAAAACTCTTGCCAAAACACTGTAAATCCCAACAGACTGGGATTCAAGCAACACTGTAAATCCCAACAGACTGGGGCTTAGGCAGACTGGGACTTAAACCTTGCTTTCTCCTCCATATCTCTGCAACATTAAAAATCAAAATATTTCCACTATATTTAAATTATTCCACTTAAACCACCGAGGAAGTACTTGAGAGATGAGATCAGAATTGCCAAGCCGAGCGTTAGCTTGTGTAAAGCGTTATCTCCCTTTTTTTTTCTGTGGAATTTTTTCAGCTGAAGACCGTGCTGATCTACAGCATCACCAAGTAACCTGGCAGAAATTCTGCCTTGATTTACAACCTCAGTGGCTGTTCAAAGATCATAAATTAGAATAGACCATGCTGTCCTTTGCTTTACACTACTACTTCTGCCCTCACTGGTATTTATGCACCCACTGACACCAGCCCACTACATAGAAGGTAAACCAGATCCTGCTCCCGTAGTCCTCGCCCGTACCCACTACAGTTAGTTTCTGCCGTCATGGGATATCAAAAGCAATGATGACTGCTCGATGGAGCAGATGATTTCCTCCGTTTCAGCCAAATTTGCCAAAAAGAATCAGCCCCTCTTCCCTTCTTGAAGGGCACCTCTATTGCAAGAGTCCTAAGGAGGAAGGTGAAGCCACCTCATACAATCATTTAGGTTGGAAAAGCCCTTTAAGATCATCAAGCCCAACCATTCCCCTACCCCTGCCAACCCACCACTAAACCCTGGCCCTCAGCACCTCATCTGCCCGGCATTTAAATACCCCCCAGGGATGGGGACTCCCCTTCCCTGGGCAGCCCCTTCCAGTGCCTGACAGCCCTTTTGGTGAGGAAATGTTTCCTGATGTCCAACCTAAAGCTGCCCTGGCACAACTCGAGGCCATTTCCCCCCTCATCCTATCACCTGTTACCAGGGAGAAAAGACCAACATGTACCTCACTACATCCTCCTTTCAGGCAGTTGTAGAGGGTGATAAGGGTTAGCTTACGTGCCATAAAGGAGTGGACCCATCTCTATTATATACCCTTATCCTGCTGGTAGGGGGTCCTGGTTCAAACCTTCCCATCACATAGCTCCTGCCCCCCTGCAGGTTCATTTGCCAAGCCTTATCTCATAGCCTGAAACCCCATTCCTGTCCTTGCACATGGGTGGCTTTCGGTACCAGATCACTGGTTAATTTATACTTTTACCCTCGTACCCCCATATATTTTCAGCAGGGCTCTCCATAAACCACAAGATTACTAAGGGGTAATAAATCACCAGAGCTCAGAAACTCCTGCAAGGCTCCAAGTGACTGAAACCACTGGACGAAAGCATTTTTACAGGGAACTCTCTTCAAGAGAGGTCAGCAAAAGGTATTTGATATCAGAGCAATCCAGGATATTTGCTTTCCCATATGGCATGGTAGCAGCATGTGGGACTGCTTGGAGTGGGGGGGAAGCTAGCTACAACTGTCCCAGGGTTTAAGATCTGCCTCCATCAAACAGCACAAAGTCTCTTCAGGCTATTTTTCTAATAATCAGGTAGGATCAGGAATAAAAGAACTGCTTTCTTCCTCCCAAGACCAGCAGTGAGAACTTGGCTATTTTTGCAGGGTAAAACAGGGGTTGGTTATTAGAGAAGCAGATGACATTGGAGTTGTCCAGGTCCATGTTTTCAAGTGCTGAGCACCTGAATGAGAGGATACATTTTCCAAACTGTTCAGCAGCCAGCAGCTGTGACCTGGCCAAATGCTCAGAAAAGCTCAGCACATGCTTATTTTTGGTGCCCACGTCAGGACACGTATTTACTTACGGCACTTCTGAAACCGCTGTTCTACTTCTGTGCAAGTACTGGTTTGCAATTGCTGAGTTGCTTCAAGCCCCAGGTGGTGAACAGATTTGTGAGGCTGTTGACATCAAGTGCCTTATATTTGTTTATCATTTGCGCTCATAAGAGAAGCCTTTGCTTGTGGTTTGACACCAACAGTTGCGACAGTGCTTTTAGAAACCATCACAAATAATGAAAGCATCTGCTGATGTCCAGCCCAGCCGTATACAAGACTTCTCAGCTTTCTGCCCTCCGCCTGATGAGGACACAAGATGGTTAGGGCATGGAGTAAGGACAACATTTGGAGAAAGACGAGGCTGCAGATATTTTCTGGCGGGGAAAGGGGGCAATGCTTCAGCAGTCAACTCCCCTTGCAGATAAAAGTAAACGAGAAATAGCTAGCTTCTACGTTGTACCAGCTAGCTTCTAGATCGCAAAGAAAAAAGCCCAAGTTCAGTGTCCTGTTCTGGATCTAGTTATCCCAAAGTTCAAAGGTAGCTGAAGTTGAGCCAGTCTGTTGTCTCTAGCTACACTATTAACATGACTCCCCTTAAACCATCCGTACAGTTCTTGTCCTGATAAAGCCTTGGCTTCCAAACACTATGAAATCTGAGGCTAGATCTAAATTTCACATCCCCCAGAGTTCAAAGGTATTTCTAGACTGACATGGTATTGTAAGAACAGAATAATTTCTTAATCTTCAACAAATTAAATGCTGGCAAGCAGCTCTTGTCTGCTCAGCACTGTTGTGACACGCTCCGTCTCCCAAGACGGGAAGGAATGGAAACAAAGTGCGAGCTCGTCCTTTCTGTACCTGCCTTTCAGAATGGTTTCAGCTGCACGCGTTACTTCCCTGCACTGTTGGCCGAGCCCCTTTTCCAATCCTGTATTTTGCACTTGAAAACCAAAAAGCAGCCCCCATGAGCCAGAAAATGAGGAGTTAGCTTGCTACCCTAGTGACACACCTCAAGTATTTATTTTATTGTCTCCATCTAAAAGAATCAAGAGGCAGCACAGTCCCGATGGTGAAGCCACCAGTGTTTTAGGACTCAGGAGGTCTCAATGCTCTTCATAGGGACAGTGGTCTCTTACTATGTGGTTTCATACAGAAAAATCCCACTTTTATCTATTAAAATAGTCTTAATCACCCCAAAGTCCAGGGTAGTCTCAGACTCACTTTGCTGCTGAACACTTCTCAAATACTTGGGAATTATTAGTATAATCCATATTTTGTACCATGCACAATGGAGAGAGCAGTGCTTCAGCAACAGAAGTTTTCCCATAGTTATTTTTTAAGCATTTGAATAGTCGCAATTGCAAACAGCAAGAAAGCTCTTATTTCTGTCCATCTCCATAAAGCAAACATCTGGCCACTCAGTTGCTAAAACTAACCAAGAGCTAAAAATAAAAAGAACATTGGATCTGCAGAGTGTTTTCTAAGGATCTAAAAACATTTTGCTTTGCTATTTAAAATCAGGCCATGCTGGCAGCCTCTGTACAGGGAACAGACCTGCCCCTTGCACAACGCACCAACCACACCACCTTGAAAGGAGTTGGCTTACTCAAGCCACACAGGTCTAGAAGAACCCCAGACTCCTAATCACATGAAAAATATTTGTCCTAGAAATGTATCACAATCTAGCTTATCCAAAGATATTTTTTTTTTCCTCACTTGTGAAGAAGTATGGACAATCCATCCCATTTTCTCCAGAAGGTTTTAGTCAGGAACATCAATTTTTACTAGGCAGAACAAGCCAATATCCCAAGTGTAAACCTGCAGCCTTTTACTCCCTCTTCACCCAG